TTTCACCAATCTCAGGTGGTTTGATGATTGCATTTGCTTGTAGGGGTGCAGATCTTTCTTTATTGGTCTCCGTATTGCCATCTCAATCAACAGGCATTGTAGAGACTGTTGTAGGAATTCGTACATCTTTCATGTGCATCGGGACTTCATCTCCCACTTGCAATTTGTTGTTAGCTTGGACGACCGTGCATTTGGACTTTGATTTGTTCATTTATCCAAAGCACCGTCCTACGCATTCCGCATAATACTAAGTTAAGTGTGGCAGATATGAGGATGCTTAGGTAGATGAGTGGCTTTACCCTTAGAGATAGGATACGAAATGAGCATATACGTGAAAAGGTTGGAGTAGCTCCAGTAGAAGATAAGATTAGAGAGAGTCGCCTTAGATGGTTTGGCCACATAAAACGGCGGCCTTGTGATGACCCGGTTAGGAGAGTAGAGGTACCTAAAAAGACTTGGTTAGAAAATATTAGGAATGACCTTTCTTTATTAGATTTAAACGAGAATTTGACTTTTAATAGGACACAATGGAGAAAAAGGATTCATGTAGCCGACCTCACGTAGTGGGATAAAGGCTTGATGTTGTTGTTGTTGTAGCCTAATGGCAAACTTTTCACCCTTCGTTATACATCTCCAACCTACTTAAACCTATTTTCAATAACCTCAGCTTCAATAGATATCACTCCAACTCCTCTAAAATAATTATTCATTAATTTATCTTTCCTAGTTTTTCCGCATTCAACATAAAAGTCTCATTTATACCCAACTTAGAAATCAGACTTTTTTATAACCCTACATTCAGATCCAAGCAACATCTCTAATGATCGCATAGAAAAATGATCGCATAGAAAAAGCCAAACCCTTCCCTGAGAGACTACGCGATGAGTACATGAGAACTCTGTGTACTCTTTGAGTGCTTCATAGTTCCTTTTGATGACTTCCAAAGGTGAGTCTCATCATACCAGAGTGAAGCTTGGGTCTTCATTTAGTGAGTACAGTCATTTTTTCTGGCTATTAATTTGTTCAATGGACGATATGTGTGCACGATTCATTTTGTCAAGTATGACACATGCCACATTGATTTTCATAGTGTGAAATTTTGATCATTACTGAAATGATATATTCCTTCAATAATTTTTATGAGATTTCAAATTTTAGCAAGTATTAAATTAATTTTTAGGATGAAGGAGAGGTGTTTGTTGTTTTTATCTTAAAAATGACTAATTTTTGCTAGAGTTGAGAGTTGGTAGGCCGCATAATGTAATTTTTTATGTGTTCTCAATGTGTGGCACATCCTAAGTTATATTAAAAAATTAAACTTAAATGCCCAATATCATATTCCTTCCTAATGTTTCAACAACAATTTGATCCATCCATCTTATTTAAGAATAATTTATCCTTCATTGTACATGCTCAAATCATTTAAATCTATTTTTCACTACCAAAGAGTCTTATAAATCTCTCATCAATCAATTTGCAAAATGCTACAGCTAACATTGCACAATAAGTAATGCTAAAACATTTCACCATTAAAAAGCCATCAAAATTTGGAAATGAGAAATTTGAGAAATATAGGAAAGCATTTATGTAACTCATGTACGGATGATACCGTGGGGACAAGGAGTATCATATTAACAGTATAATCTATTTTATGGGACATGCGAGCATGCTCAAGATACCAAGTTGGAAAAGTAATAATGGCTACTGATGGACCTTCTGATCCAATTTAAAGAATGCTCATATTGAAACATCAAATGGATCAAATCAATTTGATGCACAATGTCAATAAAACATGCGAAGGTAAGCGCTGAGTTATATCTTTCACTTTTTTCAAAATAATTGAGACATTTCCATTAATTAGTAGTTCTAACTCCGCACTCAAATGTTTCCCTAAAATACAAAAGCTTTCCTTTGGCATATCGTCAAAAAATGAGCAAATCGAACCATGGATTAAAAAATGAAGGTAAAACAATCAATATGTCAAAAATACAAGTTCACTAAAAACTCTATTAGCAACCAGGCAACTGCCTAGTGAAAATGATGTTGCTAGGAGGTTCAATAACAGTCGTATAAATTACCATAAACAGAAAAAAAAAAGTACCTTGGAAGTTGCACGTTGGGCAAAAAAGACATGAACAAGACTTCTTGCAGTGGTGGACAACACTATCTCTTTAAAAAGTCTTGCCTCCTGAATTTGGTTAATTTGCTTAGTGTAACAGATTGCAAAATAGTAAAGAAAATGCATAAGACAGAGGATATATGGCAGCTAAAACGGCCACACTATAATCCCAGTGCATTTCAAAGGGGTAATATGGTTGTTATATTATCGCTTTGACTACATGATATCTACAAATAAATGTTGATACAAACACTGAAGAACTTACTTTCAGGACACCTGCATATCCCCCAAAAATTATGCCTTCCTCAATTGCATCAAGGCACACTTGATGTTGGGGCATATGGGGAGAAGTCTTCTTAGCTTGTTGCCTCATTTCAAAAACAATTTGATGTGCTTCAGAAAGAGAGCCAAGTTTGTCAGTACGGTGGAGTGAACGAAGCCTAGGTTTACGTCTTTCAGCTAGTTCTAATGCCCATTGTCTTGCTACCATCAAAAGATCATTGGAAGATGCAATAGCATCAATTAGGCCATATTCCTTCCCCTCTTTAGCACGTATTGACTTGGACAGCTGCATGACAACATAGAGGCAAACAAAATAAGCACTGAGATTGAATGAGCAAATAGAGTTCATAGAGTCATGGTAGCATATTTTCTACAAGTATAAACAAATATTTTTGTAGAGACCTTCAATAAACTCTTGCCAACTTAGCATACAAATCATTGTTTAAAATTGCGCAATATGAGGCCCGCCTCTCCGCAATTCCAATGAAAAACGTATTGAGGCTTACGCCTCAAAATTCTTTTATGAGGCTTATGCCTCAGTTTGGTTGAGGCCCGCCTTGAGGCACGCCACACCTCGCTGACGTGAGGTTTATGCCCCACCCTATTTATATATATTTTTTAATAAAACTTACTTAAATCCTAAATTAAAGCCTAAAAAAAATCACGCTTTAATGCACCCCCAAGCTGCATTAACTTCCTTTCGACTGCCTTGAACTCTATTTTCTCCATAGTTAGCATCGTCGTAGTCGCCAGGGATCAATTGAAACTAGCACACCACCATCACTTCCTCTGAAATTTTAAGAGTATAATCTCATCTTTATATTAATGAAAAATATTTATGAAAGAGGAAGATGACTGAAATAAACAAAGAAGCAAATTGAGAGACATTGGACTCCATAAGATGAGAAAGGGGAGAGACCAATTTGTTGTTATGATGACGACTCAAATAAAAATCTCTTTAGTAATGACAGTGCAAATGAAATCTAAGTTTTTGTCAACTATTTGTTTTCTTGAGTTTAATGTGGATGAGTAAAGAACTGAGAAAGAAGGAATTTGGAGTTGAACTTGCTATTATATGATACTTTTATGTCATTTATATATTTAATATTATTTTGCCCCTATAATATTTGAATTTTAATTTTATTTTATGTAATTTATCACTTACCACTTTACGTCTGTGCAATTTTTTATTTCATATCTATGTTAATTTGTTACTTAATAATTCAATAGAAAATGGTATCATGCCATCCTTTAATATATTAATTCGGTATTATATAAAAAATCACTTTATTTTGACTTAACGCAATTTTTTTTATTTTAAGGCTTACGCCTCGCCTCACGAACAAAAAATGCCTCAATACCCAATTGCACAATTTTAAACCTTGATACAAATAAGATGTTTTAGGCGTAAAACATGAAGTAAAAGGGAAGAAAACAAAGAACTATGGAAAAACTAGCAAACAAGTAGGGGAGTCTAACAATTTCACATACAAATGAGATATAATATTGTGATGACATCCACAATATCAAATTCAGATGAGTAAATAGATCATCCTATGTTTGTCAATGCATTTTAGTAATAGAAAACCAGTCATTTAAAAAGTAGATTGCAAGACGGAATAAAGTCTCAAAACACAAAAAATAATTATGGTCATATTTACTTCTACAAAACTACTTGAATAAATTAAAAAAAAATCTCAAAATAGTTCCCAGACTATTCTTGTATGGCCAAAATAGTCCTAGAGTATCATGTTGCTCCAATTCTATACAAAATTGATCAAAAATAGTCTCTCATGCTGTAATTTTAATATAAATTGATCCAAATTTAGTCCATCGACTATACAAAATTGACCGCAATTTAATCTCAAAGGAATCATTTTGGATCAATTTTGCATAGTCGAGAGATTAAAATGGAACAACATGATACTCTGGAACTAAATTGGCCATATAAGAAAAGTTCGGGGATTATTTTGGAGTTTACTCACCGAAGTTTATACAAACAACAGATATGGTATTAAAATATTTCTAAAACTCGACTAGCTTTCAAGGAATAAAAGAAGAAATAGATTTAGAAAAAACTACAGCAAAAATAGGTAGCCTACTAAGCAGTTGATCACTTGATGTATGATTAGTTTACTGCTATGATGCACAAACATGGACAAAACGACACTGATAAGATACGACATGGACTCGGGACACACCAATTATTAAAAATATAGGACACGAACACGGGTTGAACATGCCATTATATTTTTTATATTTTAAAATAGTATATAAATTTTGAATAAGTATAATATTAAAAATAATTTAAAAATAATAAGTCGTTTAACTAAAATTTGTGCTTAAAATGATTAATATTAGGATATCGAGAGTCGAGTTTCAATACTGTGTATCAGGCATCGAGAGAAGAGACGACAATGCTGTCAGGAGTCGGGCATCAATGTTATGCAATAAATATCGGGCGTCAATGTCAACAGGGCATCTGTCGTTGATGTTAAAACGATGTCGGACAAAGATGAGCTATCAAGTTGTAGGTGTAGAATTTGCTAGCGTCGAGCATCAATATCAAGACAGTGTTAGACTTTGATGTTGTGATGATTTCGAAATGTCAATGGTGTAACTACGTCAGACGTCAATGTTGAGATAACATATGACATTGTTGTTAAAAAAAAAATCAAGACCCGCCAAAAAGAAATGAATATTTGATGAATGGGGTATTGAGTGTGGGCGATTGACTTATTGTTGTGGATAGAAAATTAGAAATGTACTTTTTTAATTTTAAATACAAGAAATTATATTTATAAAAAAATTCAAAAAATATTTAAAACACACGTGTCAGACACGTATGTCCGATTAGTATTTAATATTTTTTTTTAACCAGACACATTTTTTGCTTGTTCGACACATGTCGGAGGTGTGAAGGATGCATGTCGTGTCAAATACGTGTCAGAAACTACACCACTCTTTGAGGAGAAGTGTCGGTGTATCATAAATTTACTGTTATCTGAGTGAAAGTTCAGAAAACATTTTGTAACATCTTCTACAAGGTATAAAATTTCTTTATTTCTATGAAATAAGATTGAAAACTTACGAGTTTATAATTTGAAAATTCATACAAATATTAGAAATTGCTAAAATTCACATGTTTCTCTATAATTGTCCGTGACCTATCAACACCATGAAGGCAGGAATGCCATGGTAGAGTAAAGGCTAGAAGTGTGTCCTTGTGAATAGGCGAAATATGGTCTTAGGTACCAAGCGATCTCTAAATTAATGATATTCATGGGAATGTTCACGACTTGAAATTTTGCCATGAGCAGATCATATCCATTGGGCAATATATCAATAAGCTAAGGAAAATTTTTTTTTTTCCGAACTAACAAAAGCAAGGATTATGAAGTTAGAGCATAACGGCCGAAGGTATTGAACCCCTGAAAAAGGATGGTCTGACATCAATGAAAAATGATAGCTTCTTTATAATAAAAATATTTCTGCAAGAAAAAAAGACATTATGCTCCCGGTTGTAATCCCCAATGAAAAATATAGTTTAATGACCAAAGCTTCCAACTACAATGATAAATACCTGTGTCGAGCTAATAAGTAATAATCCCGAAAGAGGTTAGAACAAAACCTACTAACAGGTAAGATTTCTAAGATATTCTTAAATTATGACAGAAAAATCGAATGATTGCTTTAGTCATATGAAGCACATCAAATCATGTTAGTAATAATATTGTTAAGTATTTTACTATCAGGAATGTTAAAAAAATTATCGATTAATGATTCCATAATAGAAATAACTTGATAAAAATAAAAGAATAACCATATACATTCATAATGAACAAAATCATCTTAAAAAAATATAATAAAAATAATAAACAACTTCTGATAAAAGATCAACAGGGCAAGAATTGTTGGATTAACATACAAATTGAGTTCAAGTTCTTAACATAATGTATTTCTTCTACGTGCTTAAAACATTTTATAGTTTGTTTTTCTTTTGAAATATTGTCTCCTATTATTATTCTTTGTTGGCTTATAACGAAGCATTTCTCTTCTTTATTGACTTTTGCAAAAAAAGTTTGTTCTTATGCAGTCATTTTTTGGCCTGTCCACCACACCTATATTTAGATTTCGTATGTTCAAAAGTTTTTTTAATCTTATAGAAAGATTTTTGTTCTTTGCAGAACTTCAAAGAGATATTCATGAAACATTTAACCGTACATGCTAATGAATCTCGTATTACTTAAGGCAAAAAAAAAAGAATGTATTAGATTCATCTTTATGATATTTTCTTCTGGGTGCTGACAATTTATGAGTGAGTTAAGAATAATAAGACGATGATGATTATAGATGGATGATGAAACTTTTCAAGACATCCTATTGTTCTAAATAACCTTTAAAGGAGAAAAAAAAGTTCATGAATAAGAGGCAGAAACACTTGAATGATGCGCAGCATGAATACAAATCCTTACAACTAACTCTTATTCTAAACAACCTGATTAACAAATGATGACAGCAAACTATTAAAGCGGAGAAGAGAACTATTAAATGTTAATAACATAGCTTAAAAATGCTTGCAACAAACTCATGCTATGTAGGTTCGCCGATAAATGCTAGAAACAAACGCTTAAATGGCAGAGTAATTTACTCAATAATACCATGTCTACGGCCTTTGATATTCAAATTAGTCCACAATGAATTTCACCAGGAAAAGTATTTTAGACAACCATCAATTACAATTGATCGGAACAACTATTGAGGCTTACAGTAAATTTACTCACCAACATCATATCTATAGCCTTTGACAGCCCCACAAGCCTAGGAAGCCGTTGGGTACCTTCCAAGAAGTTCCGGATTTATCGATAATATTTTGGAAGAAAATAAACTTAAAAAAATAAAATGACCTCATGAAGCAATTCATGAGCAAGCAAAACAAGAATTACCTCCAAATCCAGGAATAACTCCAAGGGTTAGCTCAGGCAACCCTAGTTGAGCATCCAAAGTGGATATGCGAGCATGACAACCCTAAAGAAAAAGATTACTACAATTAAAACTGAATATAGTTAACAACATTGGAGCAGAAAAGGCTGCAATTGTCAACAAACCAAAGCCAACTCCAAACCACCTCCAAGGGCAAGCCCCTGAATGGCTGCAACAGAAGGCTTTTTAGCATCTGAAAAGCAACGCACAATTAAATTCATAAATAAGAAAAATAGAACATTTGACACTGTATGTTGGAGTTAAGTAATAAAGTTGCAAACATGACTTCAGACCTTCAATCGTATTCACAACAAGATCAACAGACACATCAGGTAAAACTGATACATCCCCTGCTAAGAAACTAAATATATCAGTAAAAAAGTAACTGAAAAAATAGTAAATTGCTTCTTTCAGTTCAACTTAATTCTCATACCAGACTTGTGAACTTCCGCAAAAACATTGATATCAAAACCACCAGAGAATTTTCCATTGTCACCTATTCATGGAATAATTTAAATAAAAAAATTATATTAGATACATTAGAACTCAAAATGCATGTTGATATGGTTTACAAATTTAATCTAATCAATCTTGAATTTCAGTGCAATTTTCCAGATCCGCAAAACAATCAAAATCAAACTCAAAAACTTCTAGAAAACTTTCAAAAGCCATCTAGAGTTTGATTTTGATATGCCTTGAAAGTAAAAATCAGCAAAACAATAGAAATCTGCAAGATTACTTGAAGCAATGGCTGATTTTGGATTATCTTTCAAAGAAAAAGAAAAGATACAGGTGATCTACAATTAGAGAGGTAGATCGGCTCTCCCAAACGATTATAATCCGAACCGGACAAAACCGGTCCAGAATTCCTTCTTCACGCGAACCAACAGACAACAAATCGCTCCCCTATTCACGCAAGCCAACCGCCCCAACTCCTTCGCCCAAATCGCGAACGAACTTCCCTTGCCCGTCTCTCCCTCCAAATCGCAATTTCTTCCCATATTTGACATATTCTCCCGCCTCGTTGCCTAACTCTCACCATTTTAGGCGAATTGGAATCTAGGGAATCATTTTTCTCCCTTGTAGGAGCCACCGAAAGTCCTCCCTCTCTCAACCACCGAACATCTTCCCTATTCCTCCTTTTTGTTTAGCGGCCATTGTTGGCAAAGAAGATCCCTCCATCTTCTACCTCTTCAAACAAGGTGGAGTCTCCCTTCTTTCTCTTAGATCAAGATTGGGTCTTTCTCCTCCCTCCTTCCCCTTCTAGACAACCAAATATCTCCAAGCGCAAAATCCACACGATCCTCCTGCCCTCGTAGCGCTCTCTCTCTCTCTCTCTCTCTCTCTATTTAAGGCAAAGCTAGGGCATTATGCATATCTTCCTTCTCTTCTTCAAAAGCCTCCAAAAGCCTCCTGGCTCCATCCTCTTTATTACTTTCTCTCCAATAGTCCTCAAAGTCAACTCTCCCCTACTTTCTCTATTCCTTGGGGTATTTTCCATGATTCGATGCCGTTGTTAGGGAAGGATTCCCTTTTTATTTCCTTCTTTCTCTTGATTAAGTTTTGAGCCTTCCTCTTCCTTCCCTTGTTATGTGATATCTTTTAACAAGGGATAAGTTAATGTTATCGTTCTTATTATTTGAATTCTTAAATTTGATTGGAGACGTCATATCTTAATTAATCATACTTACATGATTTTGTAATTTTATTCATGTTTGTATGTTGTTTTTTATGTTGTGATTTAGTTCAAAAATTAGGGAATCCTAAGCTGCTTAGATACCTTTGACGAATCTTGTGAGTTTTTCTAACAATGTTTAGGTTGGATTGTGTTTGTGTTTTATATTGGACTCTTTTAGTGTTATATTAAATTTAGGATTTATTGTTTGTAGGACTTTCAATTTTTATCATCGAGGCGTGAGCAATGAAGCATCTTTTGGGCTTTGGGCTTTGTATCACTCGCCTAGATGTAAGTACTATTATCTATTTTTGTGTAAGAGAACTACTCTTAGTTAGGGGTGTAATCCGTGCCAATTATAGTATCCCTTGTAACTATTCAGATTGTCAGTTCTATTTTGAATTCTTTAGCATAATCACATGTAATAAATCTTTGTTAGTGTTCATATCAAATATGCATGTGATAATTATAATTTTACTTGATTTATTGCTCATTAATTCTTAATCATGCATGCTAAATTTGTATATTGGAAAAGTTAGATTATGCAATTTAGCTTGGTTAAATAAATAAATCTCATTCTTGCAAACCATGCTTGACATGTTGATTTATATGTATGTTGGTTATTAATAAAAGCATTGGTCATATATGATTGTATGTATGTCGGTAGAAACCTATTAGTTTTTGGCTAGCCGGGTCGACAGGCCCCAGAGTGACGAGTCTAGAGGAAATCACTTGATTTCCTTGGGTTGATGTTTACTTTCCCAGTGATGGATATATGAAAAACCAATAAAAACTATATATGCAAGAAAATATAAGTGAATATGAACTAGAAATAATATATAACTTACGAGTCATTGTGAGGTACATGAACACCTAGTGTGGTGCATTTATAAACATTATAATAATTTGGCATCAATAGCTATTTGACATATATACATGCATATTAGAATATGTGAAAAATATAGCATATCACATGACAGTTTTTGATACAGTGATTATAGGTTAATACTCCCCTCTTTTGGTTGTTCTACTGCATGTCCCACTCCTTTGTCATTTATGTTTTGATATATAGTAATTACTTGCTGAGTTTGATTTATCAAACTCACTCGTTGTCTTTCTCAGCAGGTCCCGCAAGCGTGTTTGGTGGACCGCCACCTCAGGAGCAATGTTACCAATAGTAAAAATTTTTTGGTATTTATTAATTTGTAATAGTTTATTATGTTTATGTGTTCTAAGAATTTGGTAGTTTCTTTCTTAATTTTTCGTTATATTCATATTCATGTTGGCTTGTATCAGAACTTTGTTATTTGGATGTATTATTTTTTGAACTTCTATTAATAGATTGGTTTTATTTCACTTCCTCTGTTTACTCTGATGCATATATATATCATGTTGTATCTCTTGTATAATCATATGCTCTTTGTAAAAACAAAACATGATTTCTTATCCCTTAATCGCATCCCGTATTGTCGGGGTGTACCGCCTTCCGGATCCGAGGTGTGACACAAACAACCTAGATGCTGCTAGGAGCCTCCATGAAAAGAACTATAATAGAAAATCAAAACATAAATAATGAAAATAAGCAACATAACTAGCCTAATCCCCCCCCCAAAAAAAAAAATAGCCCTTTTGTCTTAATTAATTCCCTCTCTTATTTGAATTTAAATAGGAATTCATTCCCTAAATAATTTCCTCCATATTCCTCATCCTAACATAATAAATTATTGCTTTGTTAGGCCCCACAAGGGTGGTCGAAACCGCCTGTCACTGGTTCATTTTCTGTTGAACCGGCCCTTGCTGGGTCGGTTGCGGGTCAGCCCCCCCTTTGCGGCTTCCCGCTCCGGTATCAATACTCCCCCCCCACCTCCCCGCCCACAAAAAAAAAAAAAAAAATGCACCTTGTATTCAAGGTGGAAGGATAGAAATTGCTTCGTGATCACCCATACGTCTCCCATGTAGATTCATAATCTGGTAGGTGCTTCCGTCACATTAGGACCTCCTTTGCTCTTGTCATCCCTGATCGTAACCCCACGACCTCCACGGGTTCCAGAATCACTTCCATGTCCTCAATCAACGTCCCAGGTAATGAGGGCGAGGGTATGTGATATATGATAGCATGCCTCAATTGCGATACATGGAATACCAGATGTATCGATGGTGATACTGGTAACTTTAAACAATAAGCTACTACCCCAATGCACTATGTCACCTCATAATGACCGAAGTAACGCGGGGATAGCTTCTCATTCTTCCTCTTGGCTAGTGTCTTATGTCGGTATGATCTCAGTTTCAAATAAACTATCCTCGGGTTCAAATTGCATTTCCCGTCTGTATTCATCTGTTATTTTCTTCATAAGTTGTTGAGCTCTCAGCAGATGCCCTTTGAGTTATACTAGTATCATATCCCACTCCTCCAAGTGTTGATCTATACTAAATACTATTGTAGTTCTCTACCCGTAGTGTGTCTAATGGGTCGGGTCCCTTCCATACAAAATCCTGAAAGAGGTAGTCTGTGCAACTATGTGTAAAGATGAATTGTATCAAAACTCCACCTATACTAACCATTTGGACCATAGTTTTGGTGTATCATATACAAAACAACACAAGTATGTCTCTACGCTCCTTCTAAACACTTCCATTTGGTTATCCATCTATAGGTGATATGTCGTGCTCATTTTTAGGATCGTCACTTGCATCATGAATAACTCCCTTTAAAAGTGGATAAAAAACACCTTGTCTCTGCCTGATACTATAGATTCTAGAATGTCATGTAAGCGCACTACCTCCCAAATAAAGGTCGTGGAAACAAAAACAATAGTGTAGGAATTTTTGAGCTGAATGAAATGTGCATACTTGCTCAATGGATCTACCACCAACAACATCACAAAATACCCCTCCGATCGTGACAAACCCTTAATGAAGTCCATCGTCACCTCCTCCCATACCTTTAAGGTAAAGCTAAGGGTTGTAAACCCCCGCGGGTGCCAAAGTCAGATACTTATGCCTCTGGCACATATCACACCTTACTACCATATTTTCCACATCCCGATGCATTCCTGCCCAATATAACTCAATTGATAATCGGATGTATGCCTTCTATGCTCATGAATGTCCCCTTATCGCATTGTCATGAAACTCCAACAGTAATTTGGGAATGTTTCATGCAGATCGTGGTAGCACAAATCTCCCCTTGTAGAGTAGTTGTTCCCCTCTCAGAGCATAAACATGGATGACTATTCGGGTCCTTCAACAACTATTTCCTAATCTTCCTCAACATTCACTCTGCTACCTCAATGCTTCTCAAGTTAAGATTATTGGTACTGACAAAGCTGCTAATTGGGGTTCATCCACCCTCCTGGACAAGACGTCTGTTACTTTGTTCTCTAAGTACGGTCAGCGCTGGATCTCAAAATCATATTCAAGCAACTTAGATAGCCATCTTTGATTCTCCTCAATGATCATCCATTATTCCAACAAATACTTCAGACTCCTCTGATCAGTCCTGACTGTGAAATATCTCCCCAACAGATAGGACCACTACTTCTGTATGTCAAGACAATCTCCATCAACTTTCACTCGTACACAAACTTAATCCTTGCCATAGCTATGAGCAACTAGCTAAAATATGCAATTGATATCTAATCTTGCATGAGTACTACTAGCCCATAACCTGATGCATTTGTCTTCACCACAAATGGTCTCTCAAAATATGGGAGCATCAATATTGTTACACTGATCATAGCTTTCTTCAGCTCCTGGAAAGCTCGTGTCGCTTCCTCCCCCCATTGAAATTATCGTTCTTCAATTGATGTATTAAAGGT